TTCCATTCTTTTGATTAAAAAAATATTTACAAACTTGTTGTGTCATCATTTAGATTGCCTCAATTGAGTGGGGCACTTGATTCTAACAGTTCTTTCTGGTGTTTTGATGAAGAAAATATTTACAAACTTGCTCAAGAGTTTAGCCTCGAGACTTTGAAGGCTATGAGATGCATTCTTTGGAGAATGCACTACTCATGTGAGGAAGATGAAGTTTCTTCTCTAGCAAAATTATTAGGGAAGCTGGAGGAAACAGGGATGGATACATAATACAAATTGATTTGTCGGTTGATTTGTCTAGTGTTGACCTAGCCGTTTCAACAACTAGCATGGAGAAAATATTTTCAGCAATGGAATATGAAAATTGATTTGTGCAACAAAATAATCGATGAATTTCTCGTTGATTACTTAGCTATTTTCCTTGAAAAAGAGTATATTATTAGTATGGATGGAGATTATATTATTGATGAATTTGCTAAATTAAAAGACCTTCTTGTACAATTGACATTGTAATGAAAACTATATTATTATGTATTTTTGTTTATGATATCTAATATTCTATTCAAATGTGCTCATTTATGTCTGGATCCGCCGCTGGGTATGGGGCTGGCTGATGGTGGGTGCTTTGCGGCCTGCTGCTTCCCTTACGTCGGCCGCGCGGGGGAAGAAGTTGAGGACGACGGGAGCTGCTGCTGTTTGCGATAGAGAGGAAGATGGCGCTCTCTCCTTTTCTTCTCATGTTGTTACTTTGCGCCAGTTGCTTTGGGGTTGTGGGGTTTTATGGGCAAATAAATGGGGGAGGCGTGAGGGACGTTATGGTTATAGGTATTTACTGGGGGGTTCTGGTGGAATTAAGTGGGGCAGATTAATTGCCCATTGAGACTTGAGAGAGAGAGAGGGAGTGGGAAGGTTTACGTGGGGTGGGGGTTCTTCCTTTTCCTTATGATTTTTTTATATAATAACAATAATAATAGTAATGATAATAGTAATAATAGTTATTATTATTACTAATTCACGGTTGCAATTCTTCGCACGTAACTGTCATTTTAATCGTTCATTTATTCCGGTCGAATCTAATATGGTCGAATCCAAATATCGGGGTGTTATATGCAATTAGTAACAATGAGATTAACTCTAACGACGACACATGTTTTAAGTAATCATAACGTTGAGTTAATATGTTTATCTGGTTCCATCAAGACTTATCAAACTCAGCACGATAAAACAGTAAATAATGCTCAGGTTGGTGATTGTTTGTGTTTGTTCCAATCAACCTTGCAAAGTAAATGTAACCATATAAGAATTTTTTTAAAGCGTTGGAAGGTATAAAAAATCTCTCATGAACCACATTCGTTTAACTAAATATAAGCATGTAATAATTTGTCTAACGTGTTGGAAGGTATAAAAAATTATCTCATAAATACATTCAATTCAAGTAGATCTAGGCATGCAATAATTTTTCTAAAGTGTTAGAAAGTATAAAAGATCTCTATAAATACATTCAATTCAAGTAAATCTAACCATCCAATCATTTTCCTAAAGCGTTTGAGGCTATAAAATACATACTTGAGAAGGATTCAATTTAAATAAATCTAAGCATATAATAATTTTTCTAACATGTAAGAATTTTTAAAGCTATACAACACATACTTACAAAATGCAAAAGCAAATAAGTCTAAAATAATTGAAAATTTTGAAAATAAAATAAACTTACTTGGTACCATATGGGGCATTTGCCACAGCTTGTAACTCCTCCTTTGCCGTCAAGAATTCTTGCGGCTCTCGAGGTGCGATCATCGGAAGATGCTCCCATGCCTAGAACTGGTGGATGAACATAGCACTGCCAACTTGTTTTGCACCTATCTTCGAGCAAATACACAGCTCTCGATAGGCCATTGCTTAGCGACGGCCAACCCCCAACTCTTTCTCCCGATCTCGTCCTAGTCACTGAGCAACAGCGGTAACAACATGGCATGTACCCGCTTATTCGCGTTGTTTGGAAACATGAATCCATCAACCAAGGTAATGAGGTAGACACGTGCATACCGCTCCACCTGTTCATCGAGGTTGTGTGGGACATAGGAACCTCTTATTGGATATGATCCACATGTCCTTCGACTATCGTCGTCATCGACATGTCGAAGCACAAACTTCTCTAATCATGGTCCCCCAGTCTCTCCGGGAACTCCTGAGTGGCCCATGATGGCCTCTCCGGTGATTAGCGGCCTAGTGAGGTTGGCAACGTCTCTGAGAGTGATTGTCATTTCCCCCTCGGGAAAGTGGAATGTGTGTAATTCAGGCCTTCACCTGTCTGACATTGCCTCAACAAATAGTTGTTGATCTTAATCTGCATGAAGTGTGTCATCATTTCCAAACTCGTCCTCTCTAGATATGGCCTGAGTGGGTCATGCCATTCAGGCAAGCGTGAAATCCCTCTATGGGTGATGGCAATGAGTGATTCCTACAAAAAAAAAATACAAAAATGAGCAAACTATTAGTGAAAAGGAAAGCAAAATATAAAGTTTCAAAATTCTGAAAATTAAAATTTTAGATATTATGAGTGCCTACCGGATTGTTGTGCGAAATTGCACGAGAGCGATGAGTTACTTGCTCGGTTAAATATTTCGCATCCCTTAGCCAATGATCAATATACAATCAAGGATCATATATCTCGAAACCCATCCATAAAAAAATTGAATGAAAATCAGATTATTTCGATTAAAAAAAAATAAATCATAAAAGGAAAAGCAAGTACGTAGTCGAAGAGCCTCTTCGTTCATTTTCTGGCTGAAGCCGGACGGAAGTTCGACAAGTTTACATAGGGGAGGGTTGTAAGAAATAACTTAATGAATTTATTATGTTGTCGAGGATCAACCTTAACCGCAACCACAAACCAAAACTGGTTGACAGCCTGAACCGATGTCCCCATGATCCTCCACAAACCATAATTGGTCGGCAGCCTGAACCGAGGTCCCCAAGTCGAACGCCTCCCCTACTCTCCCACAACAACACCCATCAATCAATCAATCTTGGACCGGAATATGCTCTGGTGCAGGCTCTGCTCAACAATGCGCCAAGGCGAATTCATATCTTACTCCGCTTGCGGGAAGATCTTGGCCGATAGGACCTCTGTCATCGGCGATCAGAAAATGTCAGTCATAAAGTCTAGAGTGGTAGGGGTCTGTCTTCATCCCAATTTTCCCACTCCATTTTCTCAGAAACCGAATAGAAAATCCTCTGTATAAACCAATGTTGTCAGAGCCGAACCGGAGCATGACCCGATAATCTGAACGGCTCGGTCTTTAGTGGTCCAACCGACATTGAGCCGTTATAAAACCGTTAGAGAACCGATACCTTATATAAATGATAAAATCATAAGTATAAGACACATAAAGATAATAATTTAACAATATAATGACTAAAATAAAATTTACTAGGTACCATTTTGTAATACTACATTTCATATATATATATTAACTAACAAAAAAAAACCCTACTCCCACCCCACCTACACCCTTAGCGGCCGTCACTTCCCCTCTATCTCTCCAATTATTTCTTTTCTTTCTTCTTCTTTCCTTCAACCCAGCAGCAGCGCCCCTTCTTCCACCCACCCCAGCGGCGACTCACTTGAGACGGGAGACTGGCTTTGTCGTTGGTTTCCCCAAATCGACGAGTGGGGAGCGGCCTACGGGGAACGACGACAATGGCGACATGCGACGGGGGACTGGCGCAGGCGATGGTGGCGGGGAACGGCGGCGGGAAACGACGATTTGGACTGGCGATGGAAGCGGCGCCTCCTTCAATCTACACGAAGACGATTTTGTTTTTGAATAAGGGTTGCGGGTTTCAGACAACCCGACCCACCCCTTTCATTTTTTTTTTCATTTTTTAATTAAACTCACCGGCCCAAAGGAAAAAGCCGGACGAACGGCTCGAGCGGCCTGAGCGGTTAACCGCTTCGGCCGCTCGCCGACCGCTCTAAGAAACCGTTCCGGCTAAATAGCTGAGTCGAGCCGGTTTTGCGGGCGGGTGGCGGTTTTGACGGTCCGGCCGGCCGGCTCGGCTTTGATAACACTGGTATAAACCCTTTGCACCTCGATTAGGTACGACGGAATCGAGAGGAAGATGATCGGGTTGATGAAAGAGCGGGATGAATACTTCCACCGCATGGTGGATCGAGTTCTGGAGAGGAGACGGCGGAGGAAAGTTGGTGATGGAACCGGCGAGGTGAAATCGGTGGCGGAGATTCTCCTGTCGTTGCGAGAATCGGATATCGGGTTCTACACCGACGAAGTGGTCCATAGTACTATTTCGGTGCAGACTCAGGGTCGGAGGGGATCGCAGAAGGCAGAGATGGGAAAAGCCTCTCCATCTTTCGCTTTCTTTCTTCCAAGTTGTAAGCCTTGAGCAAGATAACGACGGCTCTTAGCCACCATTTAACAGTCTGGATTTGGCTGAAATCGGCGCTTTTGCTGGAAACATCCCTAGAGTGGGAGAGTAAAACTCATCTAACTCTATTGGTAAACATAAGCGGCCCTCCTTCCGTGGAATCTGACCCTAGGGGCTGCCCCCGATCTATGACTTCCGGTCATTCCCAGTTTGATTCAATGTAGTAGCTCCGATGGCAGTTATGGTGGTTCGCATCGGCTTGATAAGGCTCCAAGGGGCTCTCGGCTGCTGAGCCAATTGATGCTCTGTGGGGGCGGCAAGAGCTCCAGATGCGGTTGCTCTGCTGGAGGCAGCTTGCGGTGTGATACCAATAACGGCGATCTCGCCTGAAAATCTCAGCCGTCGGAGAGTAATGGCAATTATTGTCGAAACAATTACAAGCCGTTAGCTAGTAATTGTGATTTTTCATTACTAAATTTAATTTGCATTTAATTTGTTTGTATCTGTGGAGGACGCTGTTAATAGGCCTATTATTGTTTGGTCTCATTTTCATTGCCAAGACTTAATGTCATTGATCGCATTAACCATATATATATTTATAATTTTTGATCGGCAATCCCTATCGAAAGCTGGGGAAAACATTTTTATTGGAACATCGGCCACTAATGTACCAATACTAAAAATGTCATGCTTCAAGCTCCTCAAGGAAAACTGTAGACGCTTAAACAGTCATATCGCAAAGTTTTGGTGGGGTACGACACAAAATTCAGAACACCCAATCCACTACTTGTCTTGGAAAAGTCTAGTTCACAACAAATTCCATAGAGGTCTTGGATTCAGAGACTTTGAAGCCTTCAATCAAGCGTTGCTAGCTAAAAATTTTTGGAGAATATGGACCAATCCAAATTCACTTCTCTCAAAGATTTATAAGGGTCGATACTTTACTCAATGCTCAGTGTTGGAAGCATCAATCGAATCAAACCTTTCGTGGGGATGGAGATGTCTACTCTTTGGAAGAGACCTGCTCCTACAGGGACTAAGATGGCAAATAGGCGATGGGCAAAGAACTCGGGCATTCTTTGATAACTGGATCCTGGGGAATAAACCCTTAACCCCGAGTACCCGGCCCCATATTCAAAATGGATCACCTATGGTATCTTATTTCATAAAAGAAGGCCAAGGGGAATGGGACATACCAAAACTCCAGAGTTGCTTTGAACCTCAATCTGTTGATCTCATTAGGAGAATTCCTCTTCCTCGTTACTTACAGGAAGACATTAGAGTGTGGCACTATTCCAAGGATGGAAAATACACAGTCAAATCAGGTTATCACTTAGCTTTGGAAATAACATTGGCATCAAGCCGAAAAACCAATAGTACATATCATCGACCCTCCTATTTGGAAAAGACTTGGAATATCCAAGTCTCGCCTAAGCTCAAACTCTTCATATGGCAATGCCTCAAAGTCATACTTCCCATAGTAGCGGCCCTTCAAACTCGTGGAGTAAACTGCCTTAACCGATGCCCTGTCTGCTGGAGACATCGAGAAAGCATTGAACATTTATTCTTCAGATGCCCCCCCTAGCCATCAGATTGTGGACTTTAGTGGGATTGAGCAACTTTATTGAGACAACTCAGACTGTTAACTTTAGTCTATGGTGGCGACATGTCATGGTCTCTGAGACCTCTCCATTCCACATTCTCCAATGTGTCTGTTTACTTTGGAGAATCTGGAAGTATAGAAATAAAGTGACCTTCGAATTTTACCAACCTTATGTCCGTTCCCTAGCCAGACAGTTCTACATCCAGGTCCTCGAAGTCCCCAATCTTCTCCTTCCTCCTCCACCCCGCAGCTCTCTACTCCCAAACCATCCTGCCACCACTTGGGTCCCTCTGACAGAAGACTTTTTGAAGATCAACTTCGACGTTGTTGTTTGTGCCACCGGGTGTTCGTCTGGGCTTGTTATCCTTGGGTCAGACGGGCATGTGGTGTTGGCGTTCGGGCTGCAGCATCAAGGAATAGACAATCCTTACCTGGCAGAGCTTCTAGCCTTTAGAGACGCTTTCTCCATCGTAGCCTCAAGATCCCTGACCCTCGTGATAGTCGAAGGTGATTCTGAACTGGTCGTCAACCAAGTCTGTCTAGGCGTCATAGAAGACTCGATTGGTGGTCCGCTGTTATGAGAGTGTCATCAGATCCTTAGCTCTTTGTTTGTTTGTATAGAGTTTAGGGCGGTACCTAGGTCCGCCTATAGTGCTGCCTATAGAGTGGCGCGTAAAGCACTGCTTTTGTCTCGTTTAGAGCTAGAATCTTTTGATTTTTTGCGGTGGCTTCTTTAGAGTCTTTTAGGGGTCCTGGGTAGAATTGTAAGTTTAACTATTATCCTCCATCGATATCACTCAGAAATAAAAAAAACCACAAACCATAATTGGCATCCGGGTAGTTAACACAAATGGTAACAAAACTATTCACTTTGTACAAAACGGTCACAAATCTGTAATTTTGTACGTTTCAGCTAAATATGTTTGGACTAATAACAAAAGGGTTAATTGCATTGTTGGTCACTGAGATTACAAAAAACGTTCAAGTTTGATCACTCAAAATATTTAATTCCATTCGTGGTCCCTAGCATTAGTTAAACATTTCGACTTTAGTCACTCTCCGTTATAGGTGTCAAAACATAGCCCGACCCGATTAATCCGCCCGATCAACCCGACCCGCAACCCGACCGCAACTCGAATTGACTAAAAGTCAACAACCCGTAACCCGCCCGACCCGCAACCCAACTAACCCGCAACCCGATAACCCGCAACCCGATTAACCCGAACCCGATTGACCCGCAACCCGACTGACCCGCAACCCGATTAACCTGAACCCGATTGACCCGAACCCGACTAACCCGTAACCCGACCGACTCAACCCGAATTTCATCTAATCCACATGAATAATTATAAAAATATACAATACATAGTTTTTCAAAATAAAGTTTTTCATTCTAAACTTAAGAAAAATTATTTTTTCATTTCGTATAAGAAATTTTAAAAATATGAAACTCACTTGATATTACGTATTTTAAGAAAATGACAAAAATTGAAACATGAAGGTCACTTGAGATCATGACAATATTAATATAATATATAAATTAAAATTTTTGTTAATTTAACTATTCAATAAATTTATCAATTAAATATAAATAAAGTAAAGTAATGTATTTGGTAATTTGATGTTTTTAAAAGAAGAGGGAAATTTTTGTGTATTCAAGTTTTTGGGAAGAGAAAGAAGAGGGAAATTTGGTTCTTTGAATTTTTTAGAAAAGAACCAAGTGGGAATTTTGGTGGTTTTGATATGTGGGAAGAGAAAGAAGTGGGAAAATTTGATTCTTTTGATTATGAAAGAGAAATAAGGAGGGAAACTTTTGACTTTTCAACTTTTTGTAGAAGGAAAGAAGAGGGTAATTTGGTTTTTTCAATTTTATGGAAAAGAAAGATGAGGGAAAATTGAGTTTTTCTAATGTATGGAAGGAGAAAGAAGGAGTGAAATTTTAGTATTTTTGTGAAAAGAAAGAAGGAAACAAATTTGGTGCTTTCGATTTTTTGGTTTTTCATAATTTTAGCTTTTGAAATATGAATCTTTAACTTTTATATGGAGGGCATGACTAGTTAAAATTATTCTTATATGCTTTGAAGACTAATATGTATATATGTATGTAATTTTTTATGGTCTAATAAATAAATTAACCATTAGTTACAACAATTGATAATAAACTTGATAAGTAATCTTTGACGGTTCGTTGTTTAGGATATAAAGTATATGGTTAGGGTATAAGGTATAAGGTACATATGGTTTAGAGTGTATATGGTTAGGGTATAAGATATTGATGGTTTTGATGGTTCTAAGTTTTTTATTAACATATGTTCACTTGAAGTCATTTTAAGTCTTTAACGGCAGGAGATCCCTTTTTAATTTATGTTTATGGTACGTGGTTAGGGTACAAGGTATGTGGCGTAAAGTATAGGATATATGGTTAGGGTATAACAATTAACAAATATCACTTCTTATCTATGTTTTGAAAATCAAAGTATGAATTTCACTTTTAAATTAACTATACTATCAAAATCACAACTCAAGGACATATGGTTAGGCTATAGGTTATGTGGTTAGTGTATAATGTATTTATTGATGGTTTAGGGTATACAATCAACAACATATACTAACTTAATATTGTTGATTGAGATTGTTGATTGAGGGTAAAACTAAGTGTATAGGATATATGCTATTGAGTAAGTTATGATTGAAGTCACAATAATTTTACTAACTTTGATAGCTAATCTTTAATGGTTCAATTTTTAGGATAATTCGAACAATTTTACATATAACTCATTTGGCAACAGTTTACTAAAGTTATTTGGGCAATGAGTTATTTTGAAATAACTCATTTTATCACTATGCTTTTGTCAAATACCACACGCCAAATACCAGATTTGCATGGTTATACTAAACGAGATACTTTAATCCAATTACTACTGAATTAATACTAAAATATCAAATAAACAATTAACCGTGTCTTTTGGTTGCAAATATTGATATCACCATTACTATTAGCTATAATACTTTACCAATTATGATTAATTACATAACAAGTTTGCAAGTCATACAAATTGATTTAACATTTTGACTAGTTTTTTTCAAAAAAATAAAGTATATATATACGAGGTAGAAATAAATTGGTTAAAAAGTTGAGAAAATATTTTAAATTAGTGTAATAAAATGTGTAAGTTGGTAATGAGTAATGAGTTAAGTTACTTGATGCGCTGGCCCGAACAACCCGAAACCCGACCCGCCCGCAACCCGCCCGACCTAAAACCCGATGAACCCGCAACCCGATTTGCCCGCAACCCGATTGAATCCAAACCCGATGAACCCGCAACCCAACTAACCAAAACCCGATAAACCCGAACCCGATTAACCCGCAACCCGACTAACCCGCAACCCGTTTGAACCCAAACCCAATTGAACCCAGCCCGAACCCGCCCGAACCCGCCCAATTGACACCTATACTCTCCGTTACCTTCCGTTAGTCTCCGTTAACGGCGTTAACTTTTTGCTGACGTGGCTAACAAAAATGCCTACTAAGCCAATTTAAACGAAAAAATAAAAAAAAATCCAATCTGCCACATCATAATAAACCCGCCACGTCATAAACCCTCAATCAGCCAACCGAAATCAAACCAAGACCCGCCCGCTAGTCCCATCCCAAAAACTTACCCTATCCAATTTCCCCTCTTTCTCCCTCCTCTCCGGCCCGCCGCTCCTCCTCCACAGCCTAGCCCAGTTGAAATTTCGATCCTCCGAACAGTTCATTTTCCCCACCATCACGATGATGATGACCTCTAACTCCCAATCGAAATCCTAGCCCTCGTCGCCGACTTCATCATCTTCTTCCTCGTCTTCACAATCCTCACAATCGACTCGTCAGTCACAACTATCTCCATAGATTCTACGGCCGACTCGTCAAGCTCGTCTCTGCCATCAAATCCTGGTTCAATCCTTGGTGGCGATTCTCTTCCTCAGCTCTCATCGACGGCATCACTGGTCGTCGTATCTCATCCCCCAAACTCATTTCACGACTACGGATCGTAACAGGGGAAACACAGTCGAAACCCAGATCTGAAATTCAAACCCTCTTCTTCTGCAAATCCAATCTCCCCTGTCCTGCATCGAAAACCTTATCTCCTTTATTTCTCCCCATGGCTCCTTCCCATCAAATCCCTCTCTTCCAATCCTCCTCCGTTGACTCTGCATGTCGTCCGCCATGCACCACCACCCTCGCCCTCACTCCGTCTCTCCTTTGAAGATGGATCTGGTCCGTTATTGATTAATCAGGGCATACAACTATTGATTATGCGATTTTCAATTAGATGGATATGATAATAAAATTTGGAGGATTGGGTTTTGAGGGGACTAAGGGAGGAAGGGACGACGAAGATTGTGAGGAGGAGGATGGCGGTGGAGAGGAGGAACAAATGGGATGCCATTTTTTAAGTAGCTGGGGAGATTGGATTTTTTGGGTTGAATACAGAGAGGTTTTGGGAGAAGGAAGGAAGAAGAAGAGGAGAGTGATCGGGTGAGAAGGAAGAAGAAGAAGAAAAAGCCTCTTTTTTTTAAGCTGGTCGGTTCAATTCATGGGTTTGGTTAAGAGTGGGTCATTTAATGTGCTTATGTGTCAGGGTGGATTTTTTTTTTTTTTTTGGTAAAGTTGGATGACTCAACATTTCTGTTAGCCACATCAGCAAAAAATTGACGTCGTTAACGGATACTAACGGAAGGTAACGGAGAGTGACTAAAGTTGAAACATTTAACTAATGTTAGGGATCAAGAATGGAATTAAATATTTCGAGTGACCAAACATAAACGTTTTTTGTAATTTCAGTGACCAACCATGCAATTAACCCAATAACAAAAGGATAATTCTGTCTATCTCCATCCAAAATTCTGTTAGTTTGCTCCAGTCAGTTGTTCGGTCAGCATCCACATCATCAAATAAATTAATAAAAAATAAAATAAAAACGAATTAAACCCTAACCAACCCACCACCCTAATACAACCCAAGTCATTCCTCTTTATTTCCTCTCCCTCTCCGCCACCATCTTTTTGTTATTAGTCCAAACATATGTTACTGAAATGTGCAAAATTAAACGTTTGTGACCGTTTTGTATAAAATGAATAGTTTTGTTACCATTATGATAATTAGCCTTGGAATTCATATGAGTGGAGGAAGGGAGGGAGAGAATTTTGAAATGTGGTGGTGTGGTTGAAATGGGAAGAGGAGGGCTGAATTTATAGGTGGAGGATACCGCTGGAGAGAGAAGCTGTGACTTTATCGCAGTCGTCCAATGCAGCATAAAAACCGCATTCGTCGATTGCGATGATGCGCGCGGATTGCTGATGAGGGGCGTTGTGAGGCGTTGGAACTGGGAGCAATTAGAATATGCACCTCACTACACCCAAGGGCCGCGGTGAAAGGGCGGGTCCATGTCAGCGATCCGCGTCGCCCCACCCTTTCATCGCGGTCGTCAGATGCAGTGAGGTATGGATTCTGGTTTTCCTCTCATATCCGACGCCTCACCACGTTACATGTCAGCGGTGACTTATTCGCCGTTGTTAACAAAAGCGATTAACCACGACATTGAAGAGATCACTACTGTTAACGACATCAGTGAATATCTTCGCCACTTTTGACAACAACAGTCTTCTTTAAACATGTGTAGATTGAAAAAGTTATTTTGTAACGTATGTATTTTGGGAATTTTTTCAAGATTATGTGCATTTAGGGGAAAAATCATCAAATATGATTCAAGTATAAACACTAAGATGTTGATGTAATCTTTGAATTCAAATGTTAACATATATCATTTTGGCGGTATTTTTATATTTTATTTAAATATAAATTTATGGAATTGGTTGTGGATTCTTGAGC